TAGAAGTCAAACATGCCATAAGCTTGCTTGTGCATAATGATAAGTAACGGCCATTAGAAGCCCGAATCAAAAGTGAACGGTCCAAGTGGTGCGACCGAAGTGGGTATAAATTGTTAAAAAATTGTTTGCTACCGTTGGTGGGCCGAACTATAATTTCTGAAATGACGGCCAATTCGAACCGTAGAAAATACGGAACGCCCGAAATCCTTAAATTTTAATGTGAGAGTAGAATTAGTGAATGAATTATAATGGAAAAGATAGTAGGGTTGCTTGCTAATGTGGTACAAACAGTATGGCATGTTGAAAAGTCATGTAAAGAGGAATAACTTCCGAAAGACAGGAGCCATCGAAAACTCAACCAGCGAGTGGTTGCTGTTGGCATTTGCTATCACTAGGACTATTTCCCAAGTGTCTCTGATTTTTACAAACAGCATACAAACTGGGAATGACTTTTTATTGACAATAAGCCTTACTTCTGGATCAGTCAGGTCCTCGAGGCGATCACAGTACACATAAGGATGAGTGATTCGCCAAATTAACGGTCGAAATTTTGTCACGGATATAAATCGTGCCAGATTTCTAATTTCGTTCCTCAGATACTGTTCGTTTATCAGCCCGGATAAGTAAAACAATTTTGCACCCTGAAACAATCTGAGGCGAATTAAACTGAAAAAATCCATACAGTAGTGCGTGCCATTATTGCATCCTTCTGAAAAACAAAAAAAAAAAAAAAAACAAAAGGGAAGAGAAATTATTACCGCGCAAAAGCCAACACGAAAAACAAGCAACAATTCGGCTAAATTATGGTATTTTTCGAGTATAAGAAGAAAATAGAATAAAAAGGGTCGTAGAAGCCCAGCCAAAATCAGTCGCCCTGAGCGGGGTTGAAGGGAAGGTCGAAGCTGCGAAGTGGTATAATTTTAGCTCACAACCAAAGAATCTGTAACAGGTGCGCTCGACAGGTCCGGTAGTATCACTAACATGGAATACCCAAACTGATACCTCCGTGGTATTCATTGGACATAACCACAATGAGTTATTTTTTGCTCATTTAAAAAACAGCGAACAAATTTGGTAAACTCACAAAAAGCAGCAAGGATCTGGTGCTAAAACAGGCTAAACAGCACATCGTGAGAAGGGAAAAAACCCCCTATGCGAAAAACTCCCCATGCGTATCAGCGTAAAAATGCAATTGAGGGAAAGGAAGACCTGATAAACTTCTGTCCAGAAACGATGTTTGAGCAGCTTTTTTGTATGCTTAACTTTGGCTTTATTTTTGATAACATCAAGATGACTGAGAACACCCAAAATTCGTGGCATTCCATGAACTTGACAGATATTCAGAAATTCGAATGTCTCCATCTCGAAACCGCACGAAGCATCCACCATTAGC